TTTTTTTTTTTTTTAATAATTTTGAGTTTTGGTCCACATTTTCTCCTAATCTATCCAGGACCCTTTAATGTGATCCCTTTCAGAGCTGTTGGTAGTGGCAGTCAGACACTGTTTAGTTGTCTGGTCTTAGAGTCATGGAGACTGATGTTCACATGTTCCATTAGACTAATTCATTCCAAGCATCTTCAATTCTCATCACACTTCTTTCTTTTACACATGGAGAGACCAACAGCTGCACCTTACATGACCACTCATGAGCTTTTAATACCCCAGACACTATTCATACTAGGATGTAGAGCATTGTCTTTGTGGACTGTGTTATGCCAAATGACCATGGTGTCCCCTGAGATTATGGTCCTGAGTCCTCAGACCCAGCAACTCATTACCTTAAGATGTTTGATAAGATCTTTTTCATCATTTTGCCTGGTGCTATAGGAGTCCTGGTGTAGTGCTGTGGGCTAATGCGTCAGACTGCAAAGTCAGAACTTCAAGGTTGGTGGTTCAAGTTCACCAGCTGCTCCTTGGAAACTCTATACAGGGTCGCTATGGGTCAGAATTGACTCGATGGCACTTAACAACAACAAATAGGATAAGCACTTGACCATAAGGTTGGTTTGACCGCAAATATATAAATAGAGGATATTTGTACAAACACAACTATGAATGTGGTAGAGCCATGTTGTTAAGTGCTGTTGAGTCAGTTCTGACTCATAGTGACCCTGAATAGGGTTTCTAAGGAGCAGCTGGTGAGCTTGAACCACCAACCTTATAGTTAAAACCGACTTGAATCCATTGCATTAACCCGCAGCACCACACCAGGACTCCATATGTATATGTTGTTGTTGTTAAGTGCCATTGAGCCATTGAGTCAGTTTCAACCCATAGCAACCCTGTATAGGATTTCCGAGGAGCAGCTGGTGAGCTTGAACCACCAACCTTATAGTTAAAACCGACTTGAATCCATTGCATTAACCCGCAGCACCACACCAGGACTCCATATGTATATGTTGTTGTTGTTAAGTGCCATTGAGCCATTGAGTCAGTTTCAACCCATAGCAACCCTGTATAGGATTTCCGAGGAGCAGCTGGTGAGCTTGAACCACCAATCTTGCATTTCAGATGGCTTTGCAGTCTGGCACATTAACCCACAGCGGCATACCAGGACTCCATATTTATATATATCACGTCACTGTTCCTCCCTTATTTATTCAGCTTATGTCTCAGTCCATGTGTCTACACACAGAACACTGTTATTCCAAGGTTGTGTATAAATTACTATTTACCTCTGTCCCCTTTAGTTCATGCATACCTCCCTGTGTCTTCACCCATCTTCATCTTTCTTCTGTCATCCTCCCTCTGCTTATAGATTGCCGTTACCCAACCTAACATGTTTGACTACTTGTTGATGTGAGATTTTCTTCACTGTATTTTCATTGTAGAGTTACTGCCTTGCACAATGAGTGTAAAATATGTATTTTTTTTCCCCTAGCAGATTTTCTGTTTTGATGGAACTGAAAAGGAAGATTTAAATTGATGTTGCAGATTGCTGCATGGGTTATTATTAGAGCATAGCAAGGTGTGGGGATGATGGTGGTTATGTGCCGTGGAGTCAGTTCCAACTCATAGCAACTCTGGACGGAGTTTCCGAGGCTGTAAATCTTTACGGGAGCAGAACGCCTCATCTTTCTCCCGAGGAACAGCTGGTAGTTACGAACGGCTGACCTTGCAGTTCACAGCCCGACTCATAACCACTGGCAGCTATGAAGAAAACTGAGGTGTAGATACATTTTCTAAATAAATGTTTATATTTACAAAATTCTCACTTGAGCCTGGAACTATCTCACAAATGGAGAAAGCATTGTGAGGGGTAAAAGGGATGCTAATAATAAGGTACATATAGGTTACCTGCTCCACTATTTGTAAGGAATATTGAAAGATCTTTTTTTACCCCCCCCAAATCTTGACTTTGGTCTGGAAGGTCGGGCCATCGAAGAGGCTGTCTGCTCTCTGCCTTGGCCACATTCTGATTGTCTGCACAGCTCTTAGCAGATTCTTCATTGTGGGTAGGAACTGACAGTCTGTGTTCATTTCCAACCTCAAATAGCCAGTATCATTCGCTAACGAGAATGAAAACTTCTCAGACCAGTATTCCCAAGTTAAAGCACTTTACCTGAGCTGGGATGTGACCAACATCCTATTTATGACTCATATTGCTACTCTATGGGAATCATCAAAGACGCCTGATGGAATGGCACGTTTAGTACCCCATTAATAAATCATTTACTTGAAAAGAATATAGTTGTAATTGACTTTCTTCCAAATGAACGTATTCATTTGGCTATTGAGTTATCCTAATTAAATAAGCATAGTGAGAGTTCTGTTTTATTTAACTGCGAATATCCATGTAATTCTACACTTCACTAACCCTGCTAACCAGACTTACATAACTTAGATGTTCTCAACAACAAAAAATGCTTATGTGTTGACAAGTATTTACTACTGTTCTGATTTTATAAATATATTTGATAAATATAAGGATCAATACTTAACACGTTTACTTCTTATTGGGGTTACATTACTTCTGTGGGAGGAAAGATTTTCTGTTTCTTATTTTGTATCACTCTAGCAAAGATAATTCTATTTCTTGATAATTATATGGAAAAATAGACTCTGAAGAAAATCAATTTCTCTTTTATTTTTAGAACCCTCGTCCTCAGGAAAATCGGACGGTGTTCAGTGGCTCAGTCAGTATTCCATCTATCACCAAGTCCCGCCCAGAGCCAGGACGCTCCATGAGCGCTAGCAGTGGCCTGTCAGCAAGTAAGTGGCCCCAGGCTGGAGGAAAGCACCTCCAGAGCAAGATGGCACCTCGGCTGCTCATGCACCACCGAGTGGCATGCTCCTGCCAGTCCTACTCAGGCTCAGTCAAGTGGGTGTCCTGAATCACTGAGAGACCTGAGGTGCCACTGGGTGGCACTAGTAGGCCTAAGTTTAGTTGTTAGGAGTCCCTTATAAAACCTAAAGTCCAATAGGACATAGACGGGTATTACAGATAGTGCTGATGAATGCTCAGAAGGACATAAGCAGAGTGTACGCTAGAGAATAACAAGGAGTTGTGGATGAATTCATATCTAGAATAATTAAGAAAATCATTTTTAATAATTAAGAAATAATTAAGATAACCTCCCCAAGGGGTACCTGGCAGTTTGAATCACTTTGAGTAACTGAGAAGCCAGCATTGGCTAGATGACAGTATTGAAGGAGTGACAAAAATAAAGTGGGAGAGATAAGCAAGTCAAGCAGGGCCCAGGAGACCAAGGTAAGCAATTTTTATTTTATTCAAAATGCGTTGGGAAGCCTTTGAGGAGCTTTAAGTAAGGAAGGACCTTGATCTAATTTATGTTCTTAAGAAGATCGCTCTGGCTGCCAAATGGACAATGAATTAGAGGTAAGCAGGTGAGAGCTGAGGATAGTGTGAAATACAGCAATGGCAGAGGAAAAGAGACTGAAGAGAAGGAAGGAGATGGATTTTGGAGATACATTTTGGAGGTAAAAACAGTATGACTTGATGATGGACTAATGTAGAAAGATCAGGGAGAGAGAAAAGTTAGACACATCTAGTCTTCTTGCAGAGTCCTGGTGTGACTCTTTCGGATAAGCACTGGACTGCTGACTGCGAGATTAGTGGTTCAAACTACTAGCTGTTCCTCAGAAACCCTATACAGGGTCACTCTGAGTTGCTAAAACTTCAAGGCCCTTAACAACAGCAGTCTTCCTACTGGAGCAGTAGGGTAACACCAAGTGCTCCAGGTCCCGAGGCTTCAGAGGGGCTAGGGTAGGACGTTCCAGGTCCAAGGCATTTGACTAAATGAGTATATGTACCCTTTAGCCACACAATAGAAATAAACATAGCATGTTGGATCCTTGAGTCACTTGGCTTCTCATCCTCAAAACTCCAGGACATTCTCCTCATAGAGTTGAAGGTCAGATGTGAAAGTGCTTTGTAAAGAATTCTACCACAAGTAGTTTCTCCTTCAAGGAAACCCAACTGCAGCCTCAGTTCCTTGAGTGCAGACTCTCTGTGGCATCTGACTAGACAGTGGCTATACACCTGATGCTTGATGAATTCTTCATGGAGTTAACTTTGAAAAACATTTCTTACAGGTTTAACAAAAATTCTTACCGCACATTTTAATAGGTACAATGGGCTTCAAAAAGTTCATGGGAAAATTCAGTTAATTTTTTTTCATTCAATTTTCCACAAACTTTTTGAAGTTCCCTTATATAGAATATTCCAATAGCTAGCAACATTTTTCTATTGGTCTTGGATTTTAAGCTAGCTTTTATGTATCTTAATTTTAAAGACAAAACACAGTGTGAGTTTTGAAGAAATTCACCTCATATTTGTATCTCAGGCTTCTTGCCCTGTGATATAATCGAGTTGGTTTTGACTCATAATGACCTGTTACAGGAGCAGCAGGTGGGTTTGACCTGACAACTTTGTAGGATAAGTATGACCCTGTAGGATAAAGTCCAGTGCTTATCCTGCAGCGCTACATCAGGACATCAAATGGAATGATGTTTATATCTGGGCATTGCTCTACCTGCCTCAACAGCCTGTGAGGCCCTGGAGAGGCAAAGGGAAAGGCAGGCACGTGCCACAGCCTAGTGTCTTCAGTGCTGTGAGAGAGGAGATCGAGAGAAGCTGAGGACCATCAGGGGTCTCATAGGGAAAGACTCGCTAAGGAAGGAGCACAGAGGAGCCCGGCAGCATTAAGTGGGAATTATGTGGTGAGTGTGGTGCTGTAGGATAAGCACTGAACTGTGCATTGCAATGTCAGCTGTTCAAACCCACCAAGCTGCTCTGCAGAAATCATATGCTGTGTGGCTTTGAGTCAGAACCCATTCTACAGCACTTAACATGTGCTGAGTTGGCGTTCCAGGAGACAGTGCAGCAGAGGCAAGCTGTGTAGAGGCTGCCCACTACCCATAGTCACTTGGCTAGGACAATGGGCTGAGCCCTAGGCCTATGTGACCAGGTAAACTTACTCAGGATCACACTGGGACACTGAGGAGGGTGACTGGTCACCTCAGCAGTGTGCATATAAAAAGTTCTGCTTGAATGATGTTCTGCAGGATCTGCTGCACAGAATGGCAGTGCCCTAAAGAGGGAATTCTCTGAAGGAAGCTACAGCGCAAAGCAGCAGCCCCTGCCTTCCCCGTCGGAAGGCTCACTGTCTTCTGGAGGCATGGACCAAGGGAGCGACACCTTGGCGAGGGACTATGATGGGGAGGTGAGTGCAGCATGTGCACAGCTGTGCCTGGAGACACGGGTTTGGAGACATCATGTGTGAGAGACACTAGTGTGTTTACAGATAACCCCACTTTGAGATGGGCTTTCAGGGTTTAGTAGTAGCTCTTAGCCAGTGGGCAGCAAAGCCAGTCACTTGGACTGAAACCTGCATTCTCCCCTGAGGTTATCGACTTCTCGTTAACTTTTGTATGACAAAAACCTGCAGAGAGGGCTTCAAGCATTTGCTGTGTTCTGTGTGTCTTACTCAACTTAGAGAGGGAATTTAATGTGACAGTGGAAAAAAACCTCCTCTGTTCAGGGTCATATGGTCATGTGGCTGGAGGGTACTCGACATTGCCGGAGTCTCTCCTACTGCCCTTCTTCTCCCACTGCTGCTCATTCACATCTGCCTTTGGCCCTACAGGACTCTGACTCTCCGAGGCATTCTACAGCTTCCAACAGCTCCAACCTGAGCAGCCCTCCCAGCCCAGTTTCACCCAGAAAGACCAAGAGTCTCTCTCTGGAGAGCGCTGACCGTGGAAGCTGGGACCCATGAGTGCTCAGTACCCAGATCTCAGGATGCCAGAGCAGCTTCTCGGAGCTCCTGCCACATGCCCCCCTGCTTTCATCTCTCTATCTGCACCTCTGCCTGAAGCTGACCCACTGGCAGCAGGAGCAGAGTGGGGACTCAGGACTTCTGCACGCCCCTCCAGAGTCAACAGCACCACCAACAGAGGCAGCTTAGATGAATACTGATTTCATTTCATATAGTAGTTGCTTTTAATACTATTTCACCCCTCCCTGAAAAGGTAGCTCAACTAGGCAGACTACAAAGATCTAAGAGATAAGACTAGACAGACTTTGTTTTCACAGTAGAGCCTCAGCACAGCACTGAGACAGCACCCGGGCGTCCATTGGCAGGGGAGGCACCCACTAAATGTCCACCTGACTGTTGCCAGTCAGTCCTTATTAATGAAAACAGTGCATATTTTACTACAATACAGAGTTTAAATAAATACACAAATTTAGAAGTTAAATACTGAATGTATATATTCAAAAGAGGCATCTTGTATTCAACAGAAGATAGATGCATATATAAGAGAAAGAGATGGTTTAATTTAAAGAAATGTGTTGTTTTATGTCTGTTTTCCAGCTAAGCAAGGTGAAGGTTAGGAAGGCCATTAGTATGATGGGCGAGTGAGAGAAGTCGGTGTTTCACTTGGTCCTGCGTCCTCAGACCGGTGGCACAGTGGAGTCAGCAATGTAGACTCTGAGATCACTGCTTTGGAGAGCAACCTGTGCATCCGAGTTTTAAAACCCATTTATTTTTCTAGCATTAGAATTTTGAACCATGCTTTTCACATTTGATTCTATTTTAATAGTTTGTGCAGATGAAAGTAGAAGTATGAGTCTGCCACCTTTTAATCCCTTTGATCTCAAAGGGCACAAGGAGTGCTACAGTTTCTAAAGGTCCATAAAACGGCTCATCAAAGTGCTCCTTTCTGAGATAATGCCTCCCTCCCTAACTTACTGCACCTTGGAGTTTGGAGACAGCTTCTCAAGGACATTACTTTGTTAAGGCTGGGGTGGGCTCTCTGGGTGGTACAGTTAAGTGCTTGACTACTAGCCAGAAAGCTGGCTATTTGAACCCACCCGGAAGTGCCTTGGAAGACAGGCCTGGTAATCTGCCTCCCAAAGGTCACAGCCTTGAAAAGCCCCTGAAGCACAGTGCTAGTCTGCACACAGGAGACAGTCAGCTGGATGGAAACTGGCCAACAACAACATGAGCTTCTTCAGATAAGCCTGGGGAAAGGGCCTTTAATTAGCACATAATATAAAACCTTCAATGTGTAGGACTCAAACAGCCTTACCCACATACTCTTTGCCTCACCCATTGGAAGATGGCTGTTTAACCCTGAACTCATGCAGTAAACTGGCCCATTATGCCTTCCTGCTCATCTGCTTAGGAACAGTTCTATTTGAAATCCTGCTGTTTTAATTGCCACAAAGAAAGGAGATGCAAAACCAGAACTTTATTTCTCCAATCACTTCAGAGTCAGTTAAGCATGTGAGCAGAGAAAGGGATAAAAATATCTCATGAAAGGGAAGAGAATCTGCTTCTCTTTTCATCTCAGTTTCTCTGAGAAACAAGCAGGATTTTCTCCTCTCTCAAAATCCAATATGGGACACACTCAGTAGCTGCTGCTGAAGACAGCAGTGTAGATACTAGCACTTCACCCTTTTCAGTACCAGCAACCAAGCCAGAACCCCGATCACACTGCTTTGCCGGACATACCTATGCTTACACTCACGAGGGAGGTTCGCTGAGGGACAAAGGCTCCCGATGTGGGTTGTGTAAGCACACCATATTGTTTTTAAGTACCATCGAGTCAGCTGATGCTATAGCAAGGTTAGTTGCTGTTAAGTTGGTTCTGACTCATAGCTATGCTGTATTAAGGTTTCCAAGGAGCGGCTGGTGGGTTTGAACTGCTGACCTTGTGGTACAGCACCGGGGCACCTTTTTTCTGCTAAGGGTCATTTGGATATTTATTAACATCATTTGAGGGCCATACAAAATTATCAACTTAAAAATTGGGCTGCTATATATATCTGGTTCCGTAGTGGTTACGAATCGGGCTGCGAATCGCAAGGTCAGCAGTTCAAAACCACCAGCTTCTCTGCAGGAGAAAGAGGCTTTCTGCTCCTGTAAAGATTTACAGCCTCAGAAACCCTGTTCAAGGTCGCTATGGGTTGGAACCGACTTGACGGCACTTAACAACAACATATATATTTGGTCATACATTGAAATTAACTCACCCCTAACGTGATGGCTCCTCGGAAGCCCTATACAGGGTTGCTATGGGTCGGAACCAACTCAACAGCACTTAGCAACACTGTGATGGCCAGAATTGTGGTTGCCTTGGCAGGACCAGACCAAATGACTTCACAGGTATGGCACTGCTGTTTAATGACCTGGACTGCAAGATCAATTTGAACTGCAAGGTCAGTGTTGAGACTCACCAGCCACTCCTCGGAAACCCTGTACAGGGTCGTTATGAGTCGGAACTACTCAGCAGCACTTAACAGCACCAGAGGCTCACAGGCTGGAAGTTCCCCACCCTGCTATATAGAATTTCCAAGGACCAGCTAGTGGGTCTGAACTGCTGGCCTAAAGGTTAGCAGTTCAATGCTTATCCTATAGCACCACAACAGGACTCCTAAAGTTCACCATAGGGAACTTAAAAATAATAAGTTTTGACATGTAAACATTCTGGATTTAGAACTTGGCTCCAACTTGATGTTTTAGTTGGCGACAAGCGTAATTCACTGCACATCGTAATCCTCCAAATCACTTTGCTTTAAGAAAATCTAAGTCAAAATACTTTTGAACATTCAAATACCAACAACTGGACCTTGAGTCCATGACTCTGGTAACTCCATACATTTGGCAAAAAGGAAATCATCCAGCCCGTTGCTAAGCTTCCTCCTCTTCTCGCCCTCCCTCTCTCCTCTTCCTTCCTTCCTTCCCAGGCTGAGATTCACTGGATACGCCATGAAAGCCATTCTTTTTTTTTTTCTCTGTTGAGATTGTTTTGAGCCTTGATTCTTGTGAATTTTTGTTGCCTGTTGTTAAGTGCCATCGAGTTGGTTCCAACTCATAGCAACCCTTGTATAGGGTTTTTGAGGAGCAGCTGTTGAGTTTGAACTACCAACCTTGCGGTTCAAAGACCTTGTGGTCTAATACCCTGTAGCCCCACACCAGAAATCCTTTGTGGCCGGTAGGTGCTTCTTTTTTTTTAAGAATTTTTTAAGGAGTCTGGGTTCCACTACAGTAACACTGCAGCTCCCAGCAATGAGAGGCTACTATGAAGGTTTGTTGGCTGCCATGGCATTTTGTTGGTAAGTTCCATTTGTTGGTTCTGACCCATAGCGACCCTGTATAGGGTTTTAAAGGAGCAACTGGTGAGTTTGAACCACCAACCTTGTGGTTCAATCTAACATTGCCCACAGTGCTGCGCCAGGACTCCTTTAGATTCTCGGAAATGCAGACACACCACACTTTCTGACTCCCACGTTGACTTTAAATGGTCTTGCCACTCCGAATCTATCAGCCCCAAATTTATTTACATTCCAAATGCAGGTCTCCAAGGGCAGGGGGAATGACTACTGCCAGGGATAATAGTTTGAGAGAGGATTTTCCCAAAATGATGATCATGCTACTGGGCTTAGCCCATCAACCTGAAATACAAAGCCTGTTACAGTCAGTTTAGTTTCTGACAAGAGTATCTTAAAAAGATTAGAGTGGGTCCAGATTAACAAGAACACAGGATATACAGAGGGATCAGTGACAAAAACCCAAAAAAAGGTCTTATACTGCCGTTTGAAGTCATCCTGTTTTTAGTGCAAGACACTGTTAAATGTACACAACAGCAGGAGCTCATTTGTCAATAGAAAAGAAAATAAAGTCAGAGGCACTTCTGGCGTGATTTATATGTGTTGGTATTTGGTGCTATCTCTGTCCAGTCAACTTGTCTACCCTCGAGTTTTGACTAATCTTGTCATGTGCTCTGCGTACATAAAATACAAACACATACATTATTTTAGCCAAACCCAAAAGCTTTCCTTATCAAATGATTGCTAAAAGATTTTTTTAGTTATTTAAAAAGAAAACAGTCACCCTAGTTGTAGTGATTTGTGCCCATTCCCAGAGAGCACAGCTTTGTGAGAAAAAGCCCATCTATTTGTGGTTTACCAGTGTCAGCATCCAGAGCTCCTATGGCATCTGAAAAGCAGTTTGCCCTCCTGCTGGCTCCCAGCCTCTCTGCCTTCCTTCCAAGCCTAGAAACCTGCCATTTTGTTAGGGGTCATGTTACCAAGAAAAACCAGTCACCTTTATGTGGCACCTCAGGTATCACTGCAGACCCCAACCCTGTGCAGCAGGATGGCTTGCCGGTACTAGGGCTTGCTAATGTGTACTTTTCAGAGCCAGGCACTCAGAACAGCCCAGATTCTCTGATGTTGGCGGTTGCTGGTCAGACTGCAGAGCCCTAGGTCACTGGGCACAACAGGCCTTCACTCCCCAACCCAGCCTCAGCCCAATTTGGATAAACCACTTAGCACTTCACTGACCCCATTTTAGAGCCTCTTTCCTTTGTTAGGAATCCTGGTGTAAGCAATGGATTGCTAACCACAGGTTGGTGGTTCAAACCCACGAGCCATTCCTTGGAAACCCTATATAGTGTCACTCTGAGTAGGAACTGACTTGATGGCACTTACACAACTTCCTGTTAGATTTTAACTACTACTGAGTGCAGAGAGTTAACTGTGGCATCCTGCTCCATTAGATAGGGCCTTGCTACAGTTGGAGCCCTGGTCACCCCACATAGGGCAGCCTGGCCTTCCTCCCAGCCATCTCATTCACTGAGAAATAGTGACAACCAGTCAACATTGAAATTCCATGGAAACAAAATAACCTACCTTTTATTTGACAGTTTAATGCCATTTATAAATTTTTAAAGTTTTTTTTTTTCATTGTAATATTGTACATTTTGCATGGCCTAGATGTAACCATTTTTTTTGTTTAGAATTTAATGCTAACAAGTATGTGTGTGGAAGGGAAAATATACTGCTTTGGCCTCTTATCACTCTGTTTTTATGCCCTGGATGTCTTTGGGAAACTTTGTAAGAAATTCTACCAAACAATGATATGGATTCTTTTACAGTAAAATATTTAGAGTGGGAAAGTAGGAAACATAACAAAAGGCTTACCAGTACTTTACATTGATACATTAACCAGACTTTCAAGTATTACAGTAACACGGGGAACTGTTAGAATAGAGTATTTCATCATCCCCTCCTGCCCCCTTTTAATAAGTCTGAGGAATGGAGAAAAGATAGCTGGCGCCTGATGTCTTATATTGATCCTGCTTTCTGCTGTTCCCTCCCTGCCCCTCCCCAGATTCTACACTGTACTAAGGACACAGGCCCAGTGCATACACTAGGATGGTCCTTCCATAGCTCCTTAAAGTTTTCAGTTCCCCTCTTATGGTCAAAAGTTCTCTATTTACTCTTACCAGTTTGAGAAACCAAGCTCTCCACAGACTAGCAGGGTTCCGCTGCACTGACAGGACCCCTCTCTGTAGGAGATTTTGGTACATCCATCACCTCAGACAGTGTGTAACCAGCATTGGTATAAGTCTATGGATGTTTACTGCAGTGTATCACTAGACACTTCAGGTGTGAGTTAAATGGCTTATCTAAGGATACACACAGGCAGAATGAAGGAAATCCTAAACTGTGGTTATAGGTAATTCTACAAAGAACTGGTCCCATTTTCACTCCACGTTTAAATTGTGTTATTGATATGATGGTTAATTATAACATATGCTGTACTTGAGAGGCAGCAATTGGGGAATGGTTTAACAGGAATTAGCAAATTTTTCTGTAAAGCGCTAGATAGCATTTCAGCTTGTGAACTGTTCAAATCTCAGCTGTTCAACTGTGCTACTGTAGCATGAAAGCAGCCATCCACAATATGTAAATGATCGGTGTTGTGGCATCGCAGTAAAACTTAAAAGAACAAGCAGCAGATTTGGTCAGTAGTCTGCCAATCCTTGGTGTAGAGTAGAACAAAAATGGACTTTAAGGCTTGTTCCAAATCCTGTGTCCACCACTTGCCAAGCAAGTCACATACCTTCTAAGCCTACTTGTTCATATAAAATACCCACCCGTCAGTGTCAAATGAGTTAACACACAGAAGTACTTAATGTCTAGACCATGGCTCAGTGCTCATTAACAGTCAAAAGTACAGAACACATTTTGTTTGTGTTCCTACATGCCTCGACCTTCACTAGTTGTAGGGGTTGCAAGACAGCCCTGTGGAACATCTCTCCATACAGCCTCATGTCATAGTTTCCAGTGTGAATGCCTAGGTGCAAGGTTCTAGTCAAGTACAAGTCAGGAATCTGTGCATGACCAGCAACCTGCACAGTCTTAACAAAGATGCTTCTAGTTTTCCGCTGCCTTAGACTTCTTGTTAAGTGCAGTTGATTCAACTCTGACTCATGACCCTGTTTCTGAAGAGTGGCTGGTGAGCTTGAACCACCAGCCTTGTGGTTCAAACAAACCTTGCAGTCAAGCTCATTGACCTGCAGCGCCACACTAGGACTCCCTCTTGAACTCAGGACACACAAAATCACATTCCACTGCCTGTGGGAAACTTCTCCAGTCAGTCAGTGGTTCTTGGAGAAAGACGTGTGTTTTATACTATATTTACCACCTCATTCATTTCATATGTTGGGTTATCTGAGGGGAAGAGGCTGTCAGAGCACAGGCTATCCTGTCATGGTTATCTTGAAGGGCAGCTCCAGAACTGGATCCAGGAGAAGCATCACCTCTAAAAGGATGGCAGAAGCTAGGGCACCAGTGCAGCCAGACCTGGCTGCCTGCGGTTAGAGCTGTCAAGTGGTGCCCCAGGAGCAGCCATCATGGAGACGACTCTGTCCCCATTGTCCTCATCAGTGTCTGTTGCTTCAATAGTAGATTTCCTAAGAACACTTAAGACCCACATTAGATACTATTTGGAAACAGTGCCATCTCTGCAAAAGTTATTTCCCCATTTAGTACGCTTCTTGGAGTGCCTGGGCGATGTAAAAGTCCACACTCACTCAGCTGCTAACTTGGTGGAAAGTCTTGAGTCTGCCCAGATGTTTCTCGGAAGGAAGGCCTGACAATCTACAACCAGAGATCCTATCATCACTGTAAACCATGGGTTAGTTCTACACACATGGGGGTGGCCTCTCCACGGCACTAGCTCTAATGCACTTTTCATTGTTCAATATGCTTTAGCTACTTAGGGGTCAAGTTAGCATCTAGAAAAAATCCACTTTTCAGAAGTGCTGTTCAACTTCAGATGATCACAAGGGGACTTCATTGGTGTGGGGCTGGATGTGTGCTTTCCCACGATTACCAGCATTGCATGGGAAGCTCCTTCCACAGCTGCCACTTTGCCAAGTGTGCTGTAGAGGCACAGGAAGTCCAGCACAGATGGAGGGATGGGACACGCTTCCCTCAGTCCCCCTCCCTCCTCCTGACAGCCTCTTATGACCATGGATGGTAGCCTGGCCTTCTGTGATACTGAGCCCTCAAGCTCTAACCCCCATCAGATCAGACAACCTTCAGTGGGTGAAAGAAGTGACGCCAGCACAATGTAATCCTCATTCTCTAAAGTTCTTGACACAGAAAACACAGGCACTAATGAAGCACTTTTTTTTTTTTTTTTTTAAAACAAGTAAATCAAAATTTAACAAGAATTGTACAAAACTACCGGTACCTTCTCTGATTACCCTTTGGGTATAACAAAATGATATCTTTCAAAAGGCACAGACTCTTCGCTTCTGGAAGGGGCAGCCCCCCAATGCATCCCAGCAGACAAGACAGCTGTGTCAGCTCACCTACTACCTGCCCCTTTCCACATGGGCAGCCATTTGTGGGTCACATTCAGCTGTCAAAAAAGTTTAATAATCACTAGCTAGCAGGCTAGGCTTGCCTTCAACAGTACTTTTTGGCACTGTTCAGGGTAAGGCTTCCTCCCAGCTTCAGATCACAAGATGCAGAGGAATAGGGCAGAAAATACAAATCAATCACACATACACAAACATGACTACATAATCAAGAACACCCAAAAAGGCTTCTCTGCATGAGGGAGATTTGTTTTTTGGGGGTAGTACTGGTAGCGTAGAGGTTACAAATCGAGCTGTGAACCTGAAGGTCAGCAGTTTGATATGAGCAGCTGCTCCGCGGGAGAAAGATGAGTCTTTCTGCTCCCGTAAAGATTTACAGCCTCGGAAACCCTGTACAGGGTCGCAACCGACTCCACGGCACATAACCACTAACCACCATGCTCCTTTTCAGGTAAGCATTCACATTACAAAAACCCCCATTAAGAAAAAGAAAATTGTCATTTTATCTTTAGCAATACAGGCAGGCAGTCCTGGATTACAAACCAGTTCTATTCCTAGGTCTGGAAGTCGAATTTGTCCATATATCAGAACAGTTAGGTTTAGTTCAGTTCATATCTAATGTCAATCAAATGTCTGTCTTAGTACAGTGTATACAGACAGTGTGCCTTTCTATGCATGTTGTTAAGAGCTGTTGAGTCGATTCTGACTCATAGTGACCTGTATAGGGTTTCTGAGGAGCAGCTGTTGAGTTTGAACTGCTGACCCTGCAGTTCAAACCAACTTTTCCATCCAGTGCTTAGCCTACAGCACCAAACCAGATACACTAAAACATCTTTAACATAATACAGTAATAATGTTCTGATGCATGTTGCAAAGTAGTGGCCATTTGATATTATAAACCATTGTATGTATCTCAAACATTTTAATAGGCTTAATGGAGGTTGGTTCTTGATAAATCTGAATTGTAAGTAAATCAGACGGTTTATAACCTGGGGGTTGCCTGTATTTCAACCAAGAAGTTGGGGTTTCATTCTCATTCTTCTGCTTCTCCGGTACCCTCACTGAGTAATCAAAGCCATGTGTGAGTGCTTCTATGGGGCTTCCAGCACCCTCCTCGCCCCATCTTAATGGGTGAAAGAGTTTACAAGAGCATCAATACCACCATCTTCCTACTGTTGCATCTACGAATGGGCAGAGTATGGCCAGTTAGCCCACTGGCTACTGCTGTGTGGCCTGCCTCTTACAGTAGTTGCTGTAAGCCTCCTCAAACATAGCTTTACAGGGGATCCGGGCCTTCAGCTTAGAGCAGATAAGGAAGGAGCCTCCCATCTTTCTGTGCAGGGAGTAGGTTTCCTCGGGTGGGGGGATGAGGCGGTGCTTTAGCATGATGGGAATCAGGCTGTGGATCTTCTCAGTGGTGCTCTGGGTGCCAAAATCAAAGGGCTCCTCCGAGGCAAAAGCCTCCCCCAGGATGAGGATAGCATCCAAGTGGGCATCTTCCATAGCCTGCAGGGGCAAATGGTGACAAGGTATAAGAATGCTTCACACAGACCTGGGCTCCTAGTCAGTGCCTGAGTCCTAACCCAGTGCCATCAAGTCCACTCCAGGGTTTCTAAAGCTGCAAATCTTTACAGGAGCAGAAAGCCTTATCTTTCTCCCATGGAGTGAACTGGGTTTGAACTGCTAGCCTTACAGTTAGCTATTTGTTGATATTTAGTATCCTCCAGTCGATTCTGACTCATAACGACACTGGTTAGGGTTTCCAAAGAACAGCTGGTGAGTTTGAACTGCTACTTTGTAGTTCCCAGTTCAATACTGATCCTACAGCGCCACACCAAAAGTTAGAATTAGCAGTCCAGTGCTTATCCTATAGCTCTTGTTTTGAAGTTGAGTGTCAGAGAGGTGAGAGTTTTGTTATTTGGGGGGATGGGGGGGGCGGTGTCTTGGGAAGTGGTTGTTTTAAAAGATTGATAACGGTAATGGGAGTATAAATTCAAATCCATGTTGTTGCTATTGGTTGTCACTGGAGTCTCTTAAGGGCCAGGAAAACATTAATGCGTGAACTGGGCTTCATATTGGACAAAAGGGAGTGGTGAGGTCCCAAAGTGCAGAGAGTGAGCCCTGCCCTGAAGCTATTCACAAGTTTTTACAAAACAATGTTCAACCTGTAAAGTCTTTGGATCCAAGTTGGCTGGTGTTCTGTGAGCCACCCAGAACCAACACAGTGACCATCTGTTGGGTACAGGACTAAGTGCCATGTGGAGACAGCACCCATAGGGAATTTGCAGCCAAATAGGGGGATAGAAGTATGAAACTGCCACACCAGCAGAACACCAGGGAGGGCAGGCCAACCAGCCTGGATAACCAGAGTGGAGTGAAGACTAGTCACGCTTCCCCATTTAGGTGACAAATTAGCCAGCTGCTATGTACTGAGGGTTTTGGAGGCAGGTATAAATGACCTGTTTTATAGAATATGTAAGTAAGACTCAGAAAAACTTGCCTAAAATCCTACTCTGACTAGGTGGTAAATCCAAGATTTCACCCTTTCCCCATGATCAGGGAGAGGAAGGTGTAGTTTTTGGGTGGCAGGAGCACAGATCATACCCCTTAAGGCTTGCTGAAATTTTTCTAACTCTCCCCTCACCACTTCCCCATCCCATAAGCCCTCACGGAAACCCTGAACTCTAGCCTGAATAAGCCCACCCAGCAACACAAATCTCAATGGGATGAAAGAGTGTCAGGAGGAACATAGTCCTACATCCAGCTCTGCCATTCTCAACACCCAGAACAGAGAGCATAGGCTTCAGGGTCCTGAGCGCCCCTGAAGACGTGCTGTCCCATTGATGTGATCCATTTACAGAGGCCTCACTCAGCCACACCACAAGAGAAGTCTGCAGCCCCTCCCACGGGCTCTTACCGCCCTACTGCCCTAAGCAATACTGTCCCCTGCACACACCCCATGTGGAGCCTGGGGGCCATCGCACTCACTTTGACCTCATAGCCTGTGAGGAACTTCATTTCTATGGACTTCTTCAGCACAGTCTCTCGGTCCTTGTCAGCGGCAGCTCTGATGATCTGGAAAGAGACACAGGGGCCGGAGGGGGGTGGGGGGCTGCTTACAAAGAAAGGCTTTCAGCTCCAAGGGAGGCACTACCTGTCACTTTTCCCCCTACGTGCCAGACACGGCTCCCACTTTCATCCTTCTTACATTCTCCCTTCAGGCCTGGAGGCCATCCCAGTGCCACAGCCTCAGCAGGCCGAGCCTTGTCTGCTCTCACCACACTACACAACTGGGCAGTCTTCCAGGGACCAGCACAGATGGGTACACATACCCCAGGGCACCCTGTCTAAACTCTCAGGAAAATACGCTGGACTCAGGTCAGGCCCCTCCCTGCCCCTAACTATACCTGGATATAGAGGTCGGTGAAGTCCCTGTCATATTCCCGAGTTGCCCCAAAGTCCAGAAGGGCCACCTGGGGAAAGGCAGAAGTCAGAGGAAGGTTGACTTTGTGGTCGCAGGTAGAGGTATGGGGAAGGGAACAGGTGGGTAGACAGAGGGAAAATGGTCTCCCAAGGTTCAAGTTGAGAAGGGGCAGACGAAGGGGCTCACCTCCCTACCCCAGGTACACACTGAAGCCAGCAGGTGCTTTCAGCCAGGGCCCACCTACGACCCACCTTGTGCAGCTGAGGGTCATAGAAGAAGTTGGACCAGTTGGGGTCCGTTTGCATGAAGTGAAACTCGAAAAGTTCCCGCAGGCACAAGACCAGGATGTTGTAGCAGATCTGGGGTGGGGCGAGGCCTGCATCAGAGGCTGCCTGGTACCTGTCTGTCTTCCAACCCAACCCCACCTCAACTTCTACCCCAAACCTGGGTTCTGATTCTATAATACTACTGCATGGAGGAGCAGAGGCTGAGCTCCCAACCAGCCTCTACATCAGGGGCCCCCACTCCTGGCTCAAGGCCCCTGTCTCTTAGTCCCACCTCATTGCGAATCTCTTGACTGAGCTCCTCAGCCTGGTCCAGAGGGAAGCCAGACACCAACTCAGTGGTCAGCACGTGGGGGCTACAGAGCTCGTCTACAATCTCAGGCACGTAGAAGAAGGGGTGGTCCTTCAGCAGCTCTCTGGGGAGAACAGGAGGTCATAACCAAGTGACAGTCCTGCTCCCACCCTGGGGAAAATGAGGGGCTGAGCTCTGCCTACGGGGCCTGCCATGCACTGAGCTGGAAGGACCTTCACCCCGCCTGCAAGGCGCCATGGCGAAGCACTCAAGTGAGCTACAGATGGGGCACCCATGGAGCTGCACCTGAATTTCTTAGCGCATGCAGCTTCCCTCTTGTAGTCACACTCGAGGGCCAGCTCCCGCCGAAGCACGTCAATCAGGTGCTCAGGGAACAAGCCTGGGCCGGGAGGAGAAGATAGCAAGGACTGAGGGCTCACGGGGCCAGCTAGGATCCCACGCCCAGTCCCACAGGGTCTACCATCCCATACACTGGCCACCCACTGCCCCGGCAGCCCCGCCCAGACCTTCAGGAAGCACGTTGCTCATGTTCAGCACAGTCATAAGGTTGTTGACATCACTGTTGATACTCTGGGCCACACCAGGATACTGTGAGGGAAATAAGGAGGTGACTCCAAGCAGACAGGCAGGCCCCTCTTGGGGTCCTGCTCCCCACGGTCTGTTAGCTTCCCAATTGTGTCCTACCAACTCCACCTTTTTAAAGGAATCAAAAACTAAGATCCAAGGCTGCTGTTTAGCATGGACTCGCACACCCTAATCCCCACCCTCATACCACCCTACCTCATCAGAGCAGGATGGTCCTTGGTTTCTCCCTTCTGCTGGCAAGCAGAACAACAACCTGCTGCAGTGAAACCCTCCATCTCAGGCTCAAAATGCTGCAAATCACGTGTCCCCACTCCCAGCTGGCCTGTTTGACCTCCCAGTCATTCATTCAGCAAATATTCCTTGAGCAACCACTGGCAACCAGGTGTGGGGACACAGAAACCAACAGGGCCACCTAGCAAACACACACACACACTCCAAGGTAGTCTACCTGGATCTTCATGGCCACTTCTCGGCCTCCCTTCAGGCGTGCCAGGTGCACCTGCCCAATGGAGGCAGCTGCAAAGGGCCGCTCCTCAAAGTACTCCAGTTTGTCCCGCCAGTTGGGGCCCAGGTCGGTGTTTAGAGTTTTCTGAAGGAGAGGCAGGGGGCATGAGCCTACCCCAGCTCCCAGAGTGTGCCCTGCTCCCAGGGTTAGGCCAATGCCACCCCATGCACAACAGGCCTCACTGTCATCTGTTTCAGTGGCATGAAGTCGGCACTCTGCCTCACACGCTCAAAGATCTTGGCCAGGTGGGGATTGATGAAGGCATCATCTGGAAAGCACAGGAAGAATTAGTGCTGAGAGCAGAGAACGAACTCCTTGGAAGGGAAGAACACAGGCAGTAAGCAAGTGGCCACAGAGCCTTGGCAACCACCTCTTGACAAACTCTAGTCTCTGACTTCCCAGCAGCCTGGGTGGCGGGGAATACAGTGGCCGAGCTGCTGCTCTTTCACCAACTTGGGACTGTGTGGCAAACACAGTAAGACATGAGCCCAAAGGCAAACGGCAGCTCAGCCTCGGTTACCTCCTTGCACTTGAGAGCCTGTTTCTCAGCCGGCAAACACACTACTGATGCTGTGGACAATGGGCCACCAGGGTTGCAAGGATATGGGACCTGTGCAATGTGGGGACTGCAGCCCGCAGGTAAGTCCAGGAAACAGACACATCACCAGCCCAGCAAGCACTTCTCCCATAGCCATGGGGGAGGACAAAGGAGAGCCCCTAGCACTGGGAGGTTTCTCTAAGTGAGATGGTGATCAGCCATGGTCATGCCACCCAGCTGGGGATCTGAACTCCCCCAGTGGCATGCTATACAAGCTAGTTAGAAATAAAATGTATTGTTGTTATATGCCGTCGAGTCGTTTCCAACTCACAGCAACCCTTTACATTTTGAAAATACATTTATAAAATCAAGAAAAGTCTAGTGACATTATCCGTAACATGACCCCTGTTGTTAAGTGCTGTCAAGTTGATTCCAACTCACAGCGACCCTAGATAGTGTTTCCGAAGCTGTAAATCTTTGTGGGAGCCAAAAGCCTCATCTTTCTCATAAAATCTGACTTCTAGAGAGAACTATTTTCCTGTTATTGCTTTTTCTGTGCAGTTTTCTCATATTTGGAGTTATGCTGTTCTGGCCTGCTTGTCTTAGGCAGTATTTCCAGGTTATTACAGATTGTTTAAACCAGTAGCATAGTATTTTTTGTAGAGTTCTATATTATTTAACTGACCCTCTAAAATCCAAAATCTAGTAACCATTGACTTATGGCAACCACATGTGTATCACAAGTAAGGACTGTGCTCCATAAGAGTTCAGAAGATCACCAGCCCTTTCTTCTGAGGTACCCCTGGTAGGTTAATTGTCCTACCCAGGGACTCCCACCATCAGCAAATACCCCTCCTCAATCCCCACCCACCCACCTTGTGGCCAGCCAAGCTCCATGCCCTCCACCACTACACTTTTGTCTACTACCCTGGAAGCTGGCCAGAGCCACAAAGCTATCAGGTCCAGGAGGGGTCCCGCTCTTCCACCTGTGCACCCAGGCCCCACCCCCAAGAGCAACTGTCCCCCCTCACTCACCCTGAATGCTCAGCATCTGGCCCAGCTTGAGCGCCGCCCCGCGCACCTTGCACAGCGTGCTAACTATACGCTCGGCATTGGCCTCTGATAGGAAAGGGCTGGAGTCCAACACGGCCTTCTTTCCTATGGGCAGGAGGAGTCACCATGGCATCCCCTCTTTGGGGACTTGGAGCCAATCACAACCCAGCCCTCCAGAGCCTCCACAGTAGCACCCAGTCGATGCTACCACCCCATACTCAGTTCTGAGAGCACCACCACCCAGCTCTGCAATGCCTACTGGCTGGCAGGCCTCAGTTCTGCAGAAGCACCCACAGGCATCCAGGTGTGTGGTCAGGAGGCCCACATCCAACCCCAGTCTCCACTGCTGGGCGCCCCAGTGTCCTAAGATGTCAGACTTGTAATCGTTGCTTTCTCCATGTCCCAATTTAATCCCAACACTGCACAGGAACCTCTGGGCCATCCGCAGCCAGAGGGGATACGGCAGGCCCTGGCGAGACCCAATCCATAGCACCCCCAGCGAAGAGGACTGCCTGCAACCCCCACAAGTGTAGTGGACAAGAGTCACCCCCACCCTTGGGATTACGGTGCTTTTGTCACATGGGCTCAGCAGCTACAGTGAGAGTCCCATTCCCAAGAGAGGAGTCTCAGGCCCAAGGGTAGCACACAGCCCCTCCCCCCTCTACCCAGAAACCCCTGCCAGGCTCAGCCTGCACTGTGGGCAGCCCCAGGGCTGTCAAAGGCAGGGCAGTAGAGGGCAAAACAGAAGGGAGAGTGGACAGGCTAGAGGAAGGGTGGTGGACCAAGATGGCTCAGTTTCAAGACCAGTGGGGCCCAGTCAAGGGAACTCTTTCCGCGCCCTGGTCTAGCGCCAGACCTCCGTCTTCCAACCACAGGTAGTAGAAGCCCTACTCCCCCACTACATCCTGAGGGGCTGGGGACATGAAGACTCTGTCCCTAGAAGGGGCTTGTTGTTGTGAAGTGCCGTTGAGTCAATTCTGACCCATAGCAACCCTGTACAGGGTTTCCGAGGAGCAGCTGATGAGCTTGAACCACCAACCTTGCAGTTCAAACAGCTTTGCAGTCTGGTGCATTAACCCACAGAGCCACACCAGGACTCCAAGGGTGGGGGAGGGGGGCTAGATGGGTCTAGCTGGCTGTAAATTATTCTGGAAACCCTTTGCCAGGCACCTCCACACCAGTGCCCTGGGGAGGGTCAGTCTACAGTGCCAAGATGACAGGCTGAGAAGTGGGAAAAGGGTTAGGCTCCCTTCAAGAATATTAGAGGGCAGAATAGGTTTGGTGAGTGAGTTTACCTCACGGGAAGGCAGCAAGGCCAAGCCAGCAGTGCCTCCAATTGTTCCCTCTTCCCACCTGGCCCAGGCCTTGTGAGGGGGTGCTGCCCCAACAGAAAGAGCGCGATTTCTCCCCCAGAAGCAGAGCCCAGACCACTCCCCAAAGCTGGCCCATGCTTACAGGCTGGAGGCACGCACCCCCTGCATGAAGCACAGCTGGTTCTGAGGACAGCCTAGAGAGTCAGGATGGACCATGAGGGCAGGCCCCACCTCGAGCCAAGGAGCTACTCACTCTGGCCTAAGTCCCAAGCCCTGCTCTCAGTCACCACTGTAGCCAATGAGCCAGGCTGACCGCTACCCTGCATGGATGAGGTAGGATGGAGATAAGCCATGGGGGAAGAGCTGTACCTAGGGTCGGCTGGCCTCGCAACACCTACACTGAAATATCCCTGCTAAATCAGCCCTGCCCCTGCCCCCACTTCCAAGGACACACTTGGTGCTTTCTCTGCTCCCTGCTCCTCCAACCAGGGTCCTATAGGGTGGAGCAAGAGCCCTCACTGTGAGGAGTGTCTGCACATGAGGGAGGAGGGGCCATCCAGGGGGCTGAGTGTACGTAAGACAGGGTCATACTCATGGCAAAACCCTGCGGGGGAGGGGGGGGGGTGAGATGCCAGAATAAGCTCATGCCCCCTGAATAGGCCAGAGGCAGGGGCCCTCAGCCCACAACTTCAACCAAAGAACCAGCTGTTCTTTCAGCAGCCCAAGGGCCCTACTAAAGAAAACACTCCCAGGGCAGTCTTCATAGCACCTTCGTATGCCTGGAGGAGGATGGAAGAGGAGAACCTATACAAGGGCCCACACTGGGCCTCTGACAGCTAGGAACCTGTCTTCAGAGCATCCTGAGCACCCCAAGTCCCTGTGGGGTCACTTGCAGAACATTCTCTGTAGAGTGCTGGCTCACAGTGGGTCATCTGGACAGTTATCTTCACTTCAGAGACCAAATCTGGGGCCAGGAGAAGGTATGGGCCACCCCAAAATGGTATGGGTCCCAGCAGCAGCTTCCCTGCCCCCAGTTGTGGCATGTCTGCATTCAGGCTGAAGATCCTTACCACGATCAAATACCATCCCTGGCAGTGGTCCAGCCAGACCTCAAGAACTCCCTGGGAAGCAGGGCCAAGCCAAGAGGTGAGTGCATGAACAAAGCCTCCGCCTAAAGCTGATCACAGGACCGGGACAGGGTAAGACCTTCAAGCCTTCACACACTCTACACCAAACATTCAGAAGCCACCGAGTCAAAACAGAGCTGTGTTCCACCTTTCTTCCTAGGTGTCTTTAGGTGGACTTAAAACTTCCAACCTTTCAGTTAGCAGCCAAGTGCTTAGTCATAGAATATGGTAAATCCTGTTGGTCCCGAGGACCCTTCCTGGGTGGAAGGGCTAAGGGCAGCCAGGTTCACCTTCCCTGCCCCCCACCCCTCCTAATCAAAGGATTGGCTCACCTGTGGGATCCTCAGGGCGAAGGCTCTTCTTGGCAACTTCAGCCAGTGCCCCAAAGCCCAGGCCCACAGCCAGACCTGCAGGGAGACAGAGTGAGTGGTCAGTACTGGGCAGCAGGCTGCCGACTATCAGCACAGACACCCACTGATGCCCACCAGGGAGCCTTGGCAGACACTCCAGGCATTTTGAAAAGGTAGGAAAACACATACTGACTTTGAGTCAAGGTAAATATTTGATGAAAATTCTTCATCCTTCCCCACCATCACAAAAACATAAACCCCAAATAATGCATAGCTGGGAAACATATTGGGAAGGACTCAGCACTAATGGAGAGGTGGATCGAGGATGGTCAGCAAGTCAAGGACAGAGATCCAATCTTGGAAGGGGATGCCCATTCCCAAGTCTATGCATAATCTTCAAAGTTCTAGAAGTCTCCAATTTAACTTGCTGTAACTGGAAGGAAAGGCATCAGCAGGTGGGAGGAGGCGATCGATGGGAGACAAAAAGTTTTGCAAAAAAGCAAACTATCAGGTGTCCACAGACAGCCCTCACAAAGAAGTAAAACACCCCACCTTCTCTGCTGCCCTCCTAGGACCCAACAGGCACTAACAGTGGGCTGAAGATAGGTCCTCTCTCCCCTTCTGTAATCTCCTTATCAAAATGCAGGAACACCTCATCTGTTTGGAAGTCTGTCACTTGATCTTAGAAGAGGGTCCAGATATTGAGAAGGCCAGGAGGAGCCCAGAGCCATCAAGATCAAGCAGGAATGGCCAACTTCCTCATACGCTGCACACAATGCTAGCCAAATCTGTGTGGTGTAGTACTGTGGGTCAGTTTCAGCTGCAAGGTTAGGGGTTCAAGCTCACATAGCCGCTCTTTGGAAACCCTATACAGGGTTACTATGGGTCAGAACTGACTCAACAGCACTTAACAACAACATATCATTAGCATAGGTAAGTAGGGAACGCTCCTGGATGGTCACTGTCAGAGACTGAACTGTATCATCCCCAAAAGAAGGCTGGGCCCTGAATCTCAGTGGCTTCTTGTTGTTAAGTGCCGTCGAGCTGGTTCCAACTCAGTGACCCTGTATAAGCTTTCCAAGGTGCAGTTGGTGGGTTTGAAACACAGACCTAGCAGTTCAAACCAATTTTGTGGTCCTCCAGCATCACAACAGTGGTTTAGCAGGTATGTAATGACCTGATGTATCAGCCAATCAGTTGTACGGGAAGTTTAAGGCAAGTTTCCCTGGAGTGTGGCCTGAATCCCCTCTTAACTTACAAGATTTAAAAGAAGACAGAAGGAAGCAGAGAGGAAGGAGTCAGGAGAAGAGTGCCACGAGGGAAGTGCACCTTTTGGACCCAGGATCCCTGTGCTAAACTCCTCCTAGACCCAGGGGGAAGATTAATGGAGACTTCCAGGAATGTATGACTAATAGATGTTGGACAGCCCCCAGAGATCACAGAGAAAGTCTTCCCCGCTAGTGTTGGCACCCTGAATTTGGACTTCTAATCTCTTCAAACTGGTGGTGGTATGGGTTAGGCACTGGCATTTCAAACCTACCATCCGCCCATCCGCTCCATGGGAGAAAGATGAGGCTGGCTCCTCCCATAAAGATTTACAGTCTCGGAAACCCAATAATGACAAACAAGTCTATTTTTAAATGGGCAAAGGATATGAACGAATACACTTCACCAAAGAAGATATTGAGGCAACTAACAATTACATGAAAAGATGTTCCATAATCATTAGCCATCAGACATATACAAATCTAAACTACAAGGAGACGCCATCTCACCCTGACACACACAGGGTCACTATGAATTGCAACCAACTTGATGGATTTTTTTTTTGGTTAAGAGAGAATAAATTTCTGCTTGTTAAGTGTCATTTATGATACAGCAGCATGCTATCTGCAGCCACCAACAAAGGGACCAAAATTGCTGTAGGCCAAAACTCAGAAGCCCCCAAGGGGCTGTGATCTGGACAGAAGAGGCAGCCCCACATGTCTGGGGTGATACTAGAGCTGGAAGAGGATGGTTCACACCAGGGCAAGGAAACCTGCAGGGCGGGCTACGGGTAATTTTTACTTTGTTATTTGCAGGTTTCTGTAATTTCCAAACTTTCTGCCATGATTATGTATTGCTTTGACAGCACACATCAACAAAGGCAACTGTGCAACCCCTGTTTCACTAGCTGTAACAGCAGTTCCTACTTCCTAGACTGTTATGGAGACTAAACAGTTTAATACGAGTGAAGTGCTCTACCCAGGCCCAGGACATGGAATCCAATTCATAATGACCCTACAAGACAGAGTAGAACTGGCTCAAAAAGAGTTCCCATGGCTGTAATCCTTCCCAAAACAAGACTGCCACATCATTCTCCTACAAAGCATGACTAGTGGGTTTGAACTGTTGACCTTTCAGTTAGCAACCAAGCACTTAACCACTGAGCCACCAGGTTGCATATCTCAATTAGGATGAGCCACCTTTCGAATGCTCAGTAATTCCACGTGGCTGGTGACTACTGTGTTAGATGGCTAGAATAAACCATGGGATTAGAATATGGCAGTTTACCTGGAAATGTCCCTGAGGTGGAAGCATACCCCATAAGAATATCTAGGTGGACTGAGGTATGCTTCCACCTCAGGGACATTTCCAGGTAACTGCCAGAGATTGGTGCATTCTATTTCTGATGTACCTGGGGGCCTGGTGCACTAGATGTGGGACTGGGCAAAGTAGCTTTGCTGTCTCCAAAACCTGTACCAGCTCCTGTAGAGCATTGGGCGCAGAATTGGGAGCCAGTCTCTGATTAAAAATTAACTCCCGTGCCTCCTGACTGCCTACCTCTACCCTACCCAGCACATTATTTGATTTAGCAAAAACTAGATAACAGACAACATCCACCGCCAACCTATAGAGTGACCTTTATCAATGTCACTGCCCAGATCACGTCTAAAGGCAAATCTTCTGCACAAGAGGCAGAATTTGTAAAGGTAACCAACCCAGCTTGGCCATTATGGGGTGGTAACATAGAACTGTGGGGCCCCACGGAGCTCCTCCCTATCCCAGCCCATAGCACTCTTTCCACACATACACTTTACAGCTGTCTATCCACTCAAATGCTCTGCCAAACTCTTCTCATAACTCCAGTAAGGACCTGTCATTAAACAAATCACCAAAAGGACACATGCCAAGGCCACCTCAAACTCCTTAGGTGGCCCTATGTGCTCCCAAAAGGTCCAGAGCAGTGCAGGCCTGAGGCACTGCTGACTGACAGAGGACAGGCCTGACGGGGTCAGTTTGGCTGTGGGAGATGGGGATTAGAAGCCAAAGTCATCCAGGCAATCTGACCTGGGCCTCAGGCGCACCTGCTCAAAGAGAATAAACTGCCTGTCAACCCCACCTGTACCCGAGAACCTTGATGAGAGGGAAGGTCAGGGCCCAGTTTGTTCTTTTACCTGAACAGCAACTCTGAGTAGAAGAGCAGCCTTGGTCTTGGATGCCCATCCTCCTGAGCACACCTTGAGTGCTCACTGCCTCTCATAGATATCACGAATCACCAGACCTTTCCATTCACCCCCAACCCCTTCTTGTCCCACAGGACAGAGCAGGCCTTTCCCATCAGGGCTGATGGCCCAGTTCTGATGGACCACCAAAAACCAGCTCTATGGCCCACCATCCCTTGTCAGGAGTCTGGCTTCTCTCCTGGACTAAAGGAGGTGCCAACCTACTCCAAGACAGCACATGACATTTCCCTCACAATCAGACTGTGCAGTCAAGGAATAGGGGAGTAGGCGTGCATGGGCCAGGTTAGGGTGATTTCAATTCCTCTGGAGGTCATGCCATCTACAGCCTATTGGCTTCTGCCCAGAGAAGTACCAGAAGTTAAAGAAAATAAGGACCAAAACATCTTTTAACAAGCAGACTAAGGGAAAGGGTGCTTTAGAGCGGGAATAAATAAAGAAATGTTCTTTGTGGCTTTGGCTTTACCTGCCAGATTAAGTATGTTTACTCTGGTAGCATAGTGGTTACGTATCAGGCTGCACACGAACCACAAGGTCAGCAGTTTGAAACTACCAGCTGTTCCACGGGAGAAAGATGAGGCTTTCTGCTCCCGTAACGATTTACAACCTCGGAAACCCTGTACAGGTTCGCTATGAGTCGGAACCGATTCCATGGCACACAGACAGCCAGACAGCCAGGTATGTTTATGCAGCAGGAAAAGGGCTAAGAGAGATCTAAGGCTAAACCAAGAGCTACCACATCACCTACTCTGCACTTAACGATGTGCTAACACTATTCTAAGCCTTTAGTGGTAATTATCACATCTAACTGTCCCAGTCCCTCCTATCTGGTAAGACAGGATAGGCGGTGGGATGAGGATATTTCCCTCCTCTTTAATCCTTTATCTAGCTGGCACCCCCCACCTGCCATACAGAACAGGAGGGGAAGGAGTGAAGCTGAAAGGGTAATGGAGGAAGTTCCCTGCGGCGTGTTCTCCAAGGTTCCCAGAACTGGGTGGGTAGGGAGGGTCAGAGAGCAACTAGACAGCCCTGTGCTTTGACTTGCACAATAGACACCTCTGTTCCAAACACAAATAAGCACACGGCCTTGGGAACTCCCTGACTCTTGATTTCCTCATCTGTAACTGCAGATAATCATCACCCAGCTCTGGTGGCATACTGGGTTATGGGTTGGGCTGCTAACCGCAAGGTCAGTGGTTCAAATCTACCAGCTATTCCATAGAAGATGAGACTTTCTGCTCCATAAAGATTTAGAGCCTCCAAAACCTTATAAAGAGTCTCTAAGAGTCAGAACCAGCGAACCAACTGAATGGCACATCACCACCACCACCCTTCTTTACAGAGCTTCCGAGAAGGAAAAATATTCATGAATAGCCCTTTTTAAAAATATGCCCCAGCTTCTCATTTCTTCACCTCATCCTGTTTCTCCAGCACATCTTCCTTATTTGATACAGTCACTGTGAACATGTGCTGGCCACAGAGTGAGCCAATGTCACTGAGTGCTGCTCCCCTGCCCCCCGTACAGCCTCAAGGCAACCTGCCAAGTCTGGAACA